CAGGGCACAGTGACCTATGGACTGAGCTTAAGAACCTTGTGTTCCAAAGACTGCTGCGAAGATAACAAGGGAGCGGATATGATGGCCACTGGGCTGGTGACTACTGGGCTGACTGTTAAGAGCATCATTTGGAATTAATGTCGCTGTCCCGCTCCTCACACCAATAGAAGTGCCTTCCCTCTGCGGATGGAATGCCCCTTCCCTTCCTCATCAATACCCCTCCCCTGGCCCCTTCCCTCCCTCATCAATACCCCTCGCCTGGCCCCTTCCCTTCCTCATCAATACCCCTCACCTGGCTCCTTCCCTTCCTCATCAATCCCCCTCACCTGGCCCCTTTCATCCCTCATCAATATCCCTCCCCTGGCCCCTTCCCTCCCTCATCAATACCCCTCCCCTGGCCCCTTTCCTCCCTCATCAATACCCCTCACCTGGACCCTTCCCTTCCTCATCAATACCCCTCCCCTGGCCCCTTCCCTCCCTCATCAATACCCCTCGCCTGGCCCCTTCCCTTCCTCATCAATACCCCTCACCTGGCCCCTTCTCTTCCTCATCAATCCCCCTCATGTGGCCCCTTTCCTCCCTCATCAATATCTCTCCCCTGGCCCCTTCCCTTCCTCATCAATCCCCCTCACCTGGCCCCTTCCCTTCCTCATCAATCCCCCTCACCTGGCCCCTTTCCTCCCTCATCAATATCCCTCACCTGGCCCCTTCCCTCCCTCATCAATACCCCTCACCTGGCCCCTTTCCTCCCTCATCAATACCCCTCACCTGGACCCTTCCCTTCCTCATCAATACCCCTCACCTGGCCCCTTCCCTTCCTCATCAATACCCCTCACCTTTGCCTCCTAACAGGAGCGCTGCTTGAGCCTCTGCCTGAGTCAGTGATTACGGAACAGCTATTCTTCTTGATCACATGATTGTTCACCTTTCCCTTTGAAAGGCCTTTTTGTGTTTTAGGCCAACAGTCCAATTAGTCCCAAACAATCCCAAAAACAGCACCCTGGAGCTCCCTCACCGTCACGTGCTCACCCAGCAGGTTATCAAATTAATAAAGCATCCTGGCTTCCTGCTTCACCCCGCCCCTCACCAGCGAGAGGAGGATGGTTGTGCGTGCCTGCCTCTGCTGGGAGCCGGGCTGCAGTGTGGGGCCGGAGGCCATAGGGACCTTGCAAATGGCGCAGAACCTGCCTGGCTCCCTCCTGCTCACAGCTCTGCAGCGGCGAGGCCATTTCCACGGCCGCTGTGCCCAGCGGCTTGGCTCGGTGCCCTGCGCTGCAGAGGCTGCTGGCTGGGTGCAATCACATCACACAAAAGAGCCCGAGCTACACCTGAGCCGTGAGGAAAGCCGCAGGGGCAACGCGCTGCCCAGGCCAGCCTCCAGGGCAGAGAGCCTTTCTGTGAGGGCTAATTCAGTCTAGTGGAGCTCAAATCCTCTCATGCATCCTTCTGAAATCTCTCTCCAAATGGGCTTCTGCAACTTCCTACAAAAACAAAAGTTTGTTTTGCCACAATACGGGCTTTGGCCCCCAACTCAGCAACTTCTTGCCATTCACTGACCCATTCCCCGTGACCATTAGGCCAGACTCACAAGAGAATTCTAATGTGCTGAGCTCACCCCGTGGGTCAGGTTTCTACCACTGACCCACCCGGCTGTAGCCAAGAGGAGCAGAAGCCCATGGAACCCTGGGCTGGGCTGGGCTGAGTGGGGAGGAAGGGTGTTGGTGATCGAGGCCATGATGTCTCTCATCACATAGGTCTTCCATTACTAATGCCTGCCATTTATTAGACACCTACCCTGAGCGGGCTCTGAGGCATTTAATCTCATTTTCATTCCTAACATTTTCCATGCATCTCGCCAAGTCGATGTTATCATCACCTTGATGATAAGGAAACCAGCGTCTCAAGGCAGGTGGCTTCTCTGCAGTCTCTTGGCTGACTGGCCTGAACGTCAAAGATGAACCCAGTTCCGCGTCTCAAGTGTTGGGGTGCTCCTCGCCCAAGTCAGGGTTGCAGAGCCACGTCCTCCAGGCTGGGGTGTTCTGACAAAGGGTGCCTCTGGGTCTGCAAGCCTGAGTAGCCCCTCCTCCTGGGCTTTGCTGAGACACTTCCCCAGCAGCCAGCCACACGCCCTGTCCGCCTGGAACTCCCATCGTCTTCCTGATGGATCGCTGAGGGGGGCAGTTCCTCAGGGAGATCTAGTGGACCCTCCCCACCTGGCCGAGCCTGCCTGAGCTGCCTGAGCTGCCTCCCCTCTGTCCCGCTGCAGCATGAACCCCCCCTCCCATTTTAGCATCTGTTCATCTGGCCGCCTCCCACGTGCCTTGATGGAGGAAGGCCATGGCACCCAGCACACACGCATGGTAGGAGTTTAATAAACATGTGCGAAGCCCAGTTGAATTAGTGATGCTCCAAGTTGTTTGGGGGCACCCTGAGGGCGTTCCCTCCTTCCTTCTAGGGCAGTGTTTCCCAAACTTCTCTCAGGATGAGAATCACCTGGTGGAGTTGTTAAAATACAGATTCCTGAATCCCAACTCAGAAGTGCTAAACTAGAATTTGGGGAAACATATAGGTAAAATTGTATACTTAACTAGTTTAGCACTTCTGAGTTGGGATTCAGCAATCTGTAGTTTAACAACTTTTCCAGGTGATTCTCATCCTGAGAGAAGTTTGGGAAACACTGTTCTAGGGTGAAGACTGCAGCCCATGGGGAAGGAAGGACCTCCGAAGCAGGGAGCCTAGGCCACTCTACCTCCCTCGGGCGCTAAGAGGTCATAGACTCACCACCCACAAAGCCCAGGCAGAGGAGGCAGGTTAAAATCTGCTTGCTGTCGGCTGGAGTTCCATACTCTCATGAATCCAGCTGAGAGGTAAAAAACTAGACTCATCCCTGTGGCTCAAAGGAAGTCAGAGGTACCCACACCTGTGATCGGGGGCAGGGAGTTGTATCAGAACCCTTGAGGGGCCGTTCCCACCATCAGAGCCCTCACCCCAGTCCCCTGCACTGATGGGGCATTGCTGCTGAGTGAGCTCTGCCTGTCCCTGGGGACACTGGCCTCCCGGGGAGTCCTGCTTTGCAGGGACGGTCCCCTCCAGGGGGAGCAACTTCACTATAAAGCCAGGTCTGCTTCCAGGCAGGTCAGAGTGGGAGGAGGCCGGGCCACCAGGGCAGACACACCCCGTGAGGGAGGCACTGCTTCCGGTCTGTGACCCGCTCAGAGGATGAGGAACAATGGGGTGCTGGGAACACAGGGTGTGGAGGGACTGCATCTGAGTTATGTAAGCGCTTGTTTTGTTCCCAGCTTCCTTTCTGTGGGTACTTCAGGGAACTCCATAGAAGCCTAGATCACACCCTTCTCGTTTATGCGGCATTTGTACATGTACACACACACACACACACACACACACACACTCACACTCACACTCCCCTCAGGAAGCTTTCTATGGTGTGTTCCCCAACCTGCTTCCCCTTTTCAGTGGAGACCAAAGTCCACCAGGTGCCTCCAGAAAGCCCTGCCTCGTCCCTAGGGCCAAAGTGATTCCAGTCAGTGTTTCTCTGTTAGATACCCATCCGAGGAACCCAGAACTTCTGCCCCCACCCACCTCATCCCTAACCGAGAATCGTCCAGCAGGAAAAATCTCCTTACACGAAACAATAAACACATTTTCAGATGGATTTTTCTAGACAGTGAATCCTCCCAAGCCTGCCTCTCATCTCCACCTCTGCCCTTGTGATGGCAAACAGGAACAGCTTGCCTCTGCCCATCATCACCTTCATGCTGCTCGCAGCTCCTGCCACACCTTCCACCTGCACCCCCACACACATGTGAGCACACACACATGTGAGCACACACACACACACACACAGGCACACACAGAGTCCCTCTTACTCCCCCCCTTTCTCACCTTCCACCAGGATCCTTGGTTAAGGAGCTGCCAAGGGGAACACACCGACACCCCGCAGAGGAACAAGGTTGTCATGCAGCCCCTCGGGGTGCTGAGGGCGAGGGGTGACTCCTGCACATGTTCTCTCCTGACGAAGTTCAAACAGCAGCCCGACTCTGGGGGATGAGGGATCTTGCCAGCTGGGGCCCCAAGGCAGGCACATACTAACCCCCGGGCCTTGGCTCCATCCTCCCCACCCAACGGGTCATTTCTGATGCCTTCGTAGCCCTTGGAAGTGAGGTGTGCAAAGCTACTTGCCTGTGAGCTTTGCAAGGGGAGTGATGGGTCAGGGGAGAAGACAGAGTGTCTCCAAGTTGCAGGTGTGGTGGATAACCCTAAGAGGTAGCCAATCACAGTGTGGGGAGCACAGAGGTGGGGGGGCGGGGGAGGCAGGAGGACCAGCCCCCTGGAGCCCAGGTACAAAGCATTGCAGGTAAGGGGCAGAATGGCCCTCACCTGTGGGGCATCCATTTGACGCTCTGCAATCTGCTGAGCTAACCTGATGACACCTGCTGAACACAAGTGTGTCCCCTGCCCCTCATTCTCCTGGATGGCTCACAATTCCCCAGTGCCGTGGTCGGCAAACTGTGGCTCGCGAGCCACATGCAGCTCTTTGGCCCTATGAGTGTGGCTCTTCCACAAAATGCCACAGCCTGGGTAAGTCTATTTTGAAGAAGTGGCATTAGAAGAAGTTTAAAAAATGTGGCTCTCAAAAGGAATTTCAATCGTAGTCCTGTGGGTATTTGGCTCTGTGGACTAATGAGTTTGCCAACCACTGGCCCAGCGAAAGCTCTGAGTCTTTGGCACCCCTGGGTGCAGGGCTCTCTTCCCATCGCAAGAACAAAATGTCTTGCCATCGCCATACATTTAGGACTCTCCAACTGAGCCCAGCAGGTGAGAATGGGCCTCTGGCCCTCAGCAGGAGAGAGAAAGGACAGAGGCGCTGTGTTTCAGCTCCATCCTGAAGGGAAGGAGAAAGCAGGCATCCGGCTGACAGTCCGTCAGCAGTGGGCACATCACAGATCGACAGAAAGGAGAGACAGAGGCGGACCCTTGAATCACGCATCTTAGCTCCACTTTATTACAACACCAAGGAAAGCAGTTGCAGGAGGAGTGATAGTGGAGATGAACACAGAGATAAAGCCACGCTCAGCGGCATGGCCTACACCTTCTACAGGGCGTGAGTGAGTGTCGGGTCTCTGTACATGCATGTGGGACTGAGGGGCGTGTGCTGTGTGCAGATGGCGGCTCTGGAGGGTGTTTTCTTTCATTGCTTGACGGATGATGGTTGAACTCGGTGTCTTCCGGCAGTCCCGCTAGGACTGGGATCCCGCCTTTTTCTTCTGGAATTTTCTGAACTGGGACTGAATGGCCACAGCCGCACGTTCTGTCTCGGGCGCATCCATATCGATGTCAAATTCTTCTTGAACTTTCTTCTGCCCATCTGTAGCAAGAAAAACACAGACAGAAGGCAATCACTGAGCCAGAAGCCAGCAGGAAGGCAGGCGGTGGCTCTGGAAGGGACAGCCCCCAGGCAGCCACATGGCACGCCACCCCCAGCCCAAGACCAAGTGTGCAAGCCACGGTCCAGGGGCTCCTGTCCTGACCCTCATCCAAATCAGCCGTCTTCCGGCTGCCCTAATGCCACACCTGCAAGGGACGATGGAACTCAAGGATAGCTTCCGCCCCTCAGACATTGTCTGCAGTTTTCTGCTCCTCGTGTTCATATGTTATAGACAGTGTTAGACAGAGGGCGGTGCTGTCCCTCCCTCCTGCTACTTCCTGTAGATACAGTGTGGACGGTGCCACCGATAGTGACAGGGGCAGCGGACATTCACATCAGCTCCGTGTTAGACTCGAGTCTCTGTGTGAACTTGAAGGCCGATGAGCTTGGCTTATGGAATTCAGGCCTCTGTTCTTACCACCGTCACAGATGGGTAGCACCGTGTGGCCTTAGCAATGAGGCCGAACTTGCACTTGTTCTAGCAGATAGGTCAGCAGTGTGTTGCTAAGACAGAGGGATTAACGCATTCACAGCAACAATGGTTGAAAACACCGCAGAAGCCAAATCTAAGGGAAAGCATGAGCTGGTGTCCCTCGGTGCCAAGCACCTTACTTTTCGGCAAACACCAAAAACAAACAAGTAAAATGCTCTAGTCATGGAAGAGGAGAATCTTAAAACCCCTCAGTCCAGTGAAAGCGAATCATCAGAGGCACCCACAGCACCCGTGGCTTTTTAAATATAGAAACTGGGCCCACCCCAGACTCGGGGTTCCCCCGTTGCACAGACGAAGTGGGAAGGGCTCCTGAGAGCAAAACCAAGCTGGACCATCTGTGCCTCCAGGCCGGGCCCCACCGCCCACTTTCCCAGAAGGCGCTCAGGTGGCTCTAACGTGCAGCCCAAGTGAAGACCCAGCTCCGCGGTCTACAGATGAAGGGACAAGTAAGGGCCTGGCGTCAGCTCGAGGCACAGCTGGGGGCAGCACCCCCACTCGGCGCCCGGACAAGAGCCTCCCTGCACCTGAGCTTGCAGAGGGAGCCGGCAGTGTGAGGAGCGCTGTCCAGGTTGGGGACAGGAGAATCGGGGACATGGAGACAGGAAGAAGGCCCCCGTGCTCTCAGCAGCCCCCGTGCTCACACAGCAGCCCCCGTGCACTCAGCAGCCCCCGTGCTCACACAGCAGCCCACGTGCTCTCAGCAGCCCCCGTGCTCACACAGCAGCCCCCGTGCTCACACAGCAGCCCATGTGCTCTCAGCAGCCCCCGTGCTCACACAGCAGCCCCCGTGCTCACACAGTATCCCAAGTGCACACAGCAATCCATGTGCTCACAACAGTTACCCGTTAGTACCAATGACATCCACCGAGGCAGCGCATTCACACTAGGGAGTGTCACTCACGAGGTGAGTTAGAGTCCCCAGTCCTTTTCCTCCCAGGAATCCCTGTGTCTACTGTGTCTACTGTGCCATGATCGCAAGGGGGACAAGGGAACTTGGATTCAGAAAGAACGGGAGGGTCCCCTTTCAGATTAAAAGTGCTGCCGCAGCCTGAAGTTTTGGGAAGCCTGATTCATCTCTTTCTGTCGGTAATAACAAAAATAAAACAGCAATATGTTTTGACAAACGATAAAGGAAGATGCAGAAAATGATGTGTATTTAGGGACGATAGCATAAGACAGTGGGACAGGCCATAAAAACAAATTTCACAATTATATCCTAAACTAGTATCTCCAGCCAAAAGCGACGCATACTAGCAGATTCCTCCTCGTTTGGAGAACAGGAGCGTGTCTAAAGAGCAAAGCACGGGGTGCCAGAATCACTCTCTTCTGTTTATTCTGGAGGGGAGGGTCCCCTGCCGGGGCGGGGGGGGGGGGGAGAGCGGGTCTGCATTGCTCCTCCTCCCTCCCAGCTGGCCTGGGGGTCTGAGGCTGAGGAGGGGGACCCGCGTGGTGGAGAAGAGACAGCAAATTAGATTCAGTGGCACAGGGGTCCCGGGCGCTGGAAAAGCACAGCTCTGAGCAGGGGCGAGGGGTGACGCAGGGTGTGATCTGGAGGGACCACAATCAGTCCCAGCCTCAGAGCCCTCTGTGGAGCCCTGTGCCCTTGCGGTGGGAATAGCAGTGTGCAGGCGGCCCTCTGAGAGGCCCCTCCCAAGCTCCCCTCCAGGACAGAGCGGGCCCACCAGCAGCACCAGGGCCCTTCTGCTGCTAAAACCAGAGAGGCGAGCTCAGCCATGTCTGCTGGGACCAGGAGGGCGCACCTCCTCCCCCCACATACACACAGTACAGCTCTGCACCTTACACTCCCCCTTACTCTCCTCCTTCCTGTCCTCCCTGTGCTGTCGCCCATCACCCATCGCAGTGTGAGCCCCAGGAGGGGAGGCATCGCAGGCCTTGCTCAGCCGCTCACGCAGGGCCCAGCTAATGGGGAAGGGGGCGGACATCTACCCTGTTTCCCCGAAAATAAGACAGTGTCTTATATTAATTTTCCTCCCAAAGTTGCGCTAGGTCTTCTTTTCGGGGGATGTTTTATCTTTCCATGCGCTAGGTCTTATTTTCGGAGGATGTCTTATTTTCGAGGAAACACGGTAGTAAGTGACCCAAGTCCAAACACAGGATGCGTCAACTACTTTGCAGAATCTGCTTGTTCCCCAGGGGTCCCAAGACAACTGATACCAAATCCCATCCTTTAGTAGAGGGTCGGCATGCATACTCAGGGCCTAGGAGAGAGCAGAGAGCAAAGCCCGCCCCTGCTCTGCCGGGGAAGTGGACAGCAGGAAGGTACATGCAGCAATAAAACCGAGCGGTGACTGGGAGAGCGTGTGTCCAGGCGGCCGGTTAGGCCTCGGGGACGGAGAATGTGTGAGCGCCTACGGCCCCCGCCCCGGAGGGAGGGGCACTGGGAGCCCCTCGGCAGCAAGAAACTCTGTGAAAAATGAGTCTTCGCTGCGTGAAAAATTAGTCTTGACTTACACGTTCACCACCGAAGTAGCCGACTTCAAGTCGTTAGCATAAATCCTTTAGAAATTAACAGACGTGCAGTCATCCGGGGCAAAACAGAGCTATTCATGGATCCTGAACAGCCAAGGTGTAATAAAAATTTTTAAAAAAACGAAGCTCACATCACTCCAAAACATATCATATTAACCTCCAGGCTCCCTAAAAGGGACTCAGTTGTATGTTTTTGAGTTTATAATGCTGTAAAGTCCTTGCCTAGAACAGTAAGTCATGAACACAGGGGCTTACACACACATTCACACTCATACACACACACACACACACACACACACACACACATACACTCACATACACTCACATACACATTAACAGACACACACCGTGGTAAAGGCTTTCCTTTACACATGTATAACTCGCCACGTTTTCAGATTTATTTTATAGCAACACCTTAGCTCCCGAGGCCTAATCGCATGCATCAGAAGCTCGCGCCTGAGCAGTAAATTGGGCTATAACCGTCCTGCGTGGGAGTCGGCCTGAGTAGGAGGCACTATAAAAGGACCCACATTCCACACGCCACACAGAAATAACGGCCATTCGGCTCCCGTGTGCCTTGCAGACCGGGCATTAGGGTGCCACGGTCCTCGAAATGCCCCGCCTCCTTCAGAGTGGAATAGTAACTGAGACGGAACTGATGGCTGGTACCTGTGTCGCTCCTGAGATCGTTAAGGTAACGGACCCTGTGCTTGCCTCGGCCTCTTAGCCGGCAGCACCCTCTCCCCATCAGGGCACCACCCAGGGCCACAGAGAGCCAGCCCGGCCCAAGATGCAAGGAAAGCAAAGAGACGAGTCAGAAAATCAAGTCCGGATCGCAATTTTTATCCCTTAAGCCTCAAAGTGGATCAAAATATCCTCAGAGAACAAGGCCTCTGCTGTTAGAGAAAAGGTCAATTCCTCCCAAGGAAAGAAGTAATAAAATAAATTTATACGCCTAGCGCCCCACAATGCACCAGCACCGTCTTGTGAAAGCCGTGACAAAACCAGCGTTCTCCTAAGAGGCGGGACTCAGCGGGATCTCCGCTGTTGGTGGCTGGTGTGACGGCCCCCCTCGCTGCACGGAGGGGGTCCCCAGGCGGCCGGAGCCCGGCTCCCAGCAATGCCCGTTCCTGCCCGCTGGCTCGGGGCTTATTGGACGGGGGCTGCTGGGGCGGAGAATTGCAATTTCCCAGGTCCTGGCTAAGCAGCAGGGATTAACGAGCTGGGTCAGGCATTAGTGGCGGCAGGCAGGGGGCTTTCTGCATCTAAAGGGTTCTCACATCAAATAAAAATGCAATTCCCGTTTCTGCTAACTTTCCATTTGCCGGGTTCGCACCTTCCTTGGTGTTCACTGCTTTTTCCAGGAGATAGAAATCCTCTTGGGCCCTAAAATAGAGGTGCTCATTCTCTCTCTCTCTCTCTCTCTCTCTCACACACACACACCATCTTCTCTGTTCACACCGTGCTTCGGTTAATGCGGAGCCTGATCTGGGAGGCTGAAGGCGACAGCTTGCTCCCAGCCCCCTGGGTCCTCTGCTCCCCATGGTCCCGTTCCTCTGGCCCCCGGCCGCCTGGCCCTGGCTTCACAAAATGACTCCCCAGCTGTGATACTACATCATCAAATGCGTGCCTGGAAGAGAATGAACACTGATGAGATCAGTTATCTCCCCCGATTCATTAAGGCACATGTGTCAAACACAAGGCCCGCGGGCCAAAACCGTCCCGCCAGGCCTTGCAATGTGGCCCGCACCGCGCTGTCAGCACTGCACTCCGCTGCGTTTCCATCACAATGACAGTTTATGACTGTTGAGTAAACCATTCGGCCCGCGATTTAGGCTGGATTTTAGATTTTGGCCCCTTCTCTGATTGAGTTCGACACCCCTACATTAAGGGAACCAAATAAGACAGTGGCTGTATGAATGGTTTTCCCATCCGGTGTCAGACTCCCCACATGTGA